AAAAAAAAAATGTGGTTAGGGGTAAAGAAAAACTTACATTTGTCTGTGTAGCAGTTTTACTTGAAGGCTTCCCGGAAGAAAAATGGCTACTAATGCAGTAATCATCTGCTGGTGCTGGTAACACATTTCCTGAATGCCGTTGCACACTATTTGTAGCACCAGTAATTTGTTGTACTCTACTTTAAAATCGTTAGCTAAGTTAATCTACTTCCCGAATTGTCACAATAACCAACAAAAAGCTGAACATGATAATTATTCTACAATTGTAGATATAGAGGAAACCACTGCAATCACAAGTTTCAACAATCAAAAAAAAAAATTGACTAGGAGAAAAAGAAACCACAAAACTAATATGACAGAATGCATCTCTTTCATATACTTGTTCATATAAAAATAACATAAACACCCCCTCCCTCCCCCTGCTACAAGAAAAAAAAAGAATTAAAAACTCCAGATTAAATGCTTGCTTGGCTAAGCTTTCAAGTGCTTATAAGCAGTGGTCCCAAAGAACGTATGGTTTAAAACTAAATAAAAGTTGTGGATCCTAAGGAATGTGTGGTTAAAATTATGTTTATCTAGTTTATAAGCACTTAAAAGCTTTGTCAAACATCCACCTTAGATTAACAAAACAACACACCCCAACAATATTAAGAAACTCCAAATAGAGAAGGCAAAACCATAATTTTCATCCGCACAGAGAAATCAAGTTTCCAACTTGAAGATAAGCTCCAAGAAAAGTCACCCATTTAAGACAACAAAGAAACTTCTCGAAGCACTGGAACAGCTCTTTTTAACTAAAAAACGCCATAATTGGCTTCATAGGAAGCGGAATCTTCCATAAATAAATCAACTAAATCGATAACTGCACGATGTTTGATTGTCAAGCAACAAGCAGATGCTGAATAAAAGACTTAAAGGTTGAGTCTAAAGCGCAACATTAAGTATTTACTAGGTTGAGTCCAAAGGGCAACATGAAGCATTTACTACTTTCATCACAGATATAAAAAGAATAAAATGAAAAAGGAAAATATATAATAGGCTGCATACTGATATAAAAATACCTTGTGTAAGCGGATATTATTTCGTCCTTGGTAAAACTATCCTCTTGTGAACCAATCTCATGCAAATATAGGCAATCAGGGTTGCTGCACGGCTGGACAAAAAAATAAATATTTTGTTATGAGACACTGTGTGACACCAATATGCCACAGGTACATATTTGACTATATATGTAATATGGAAAGATCCAATAACCAGTATGCAGATCTTGATTTAGAAATGATTCATAGATCATACCACATTTCTCAGCCATGCATGACAGTATTTAGTCGTTCCAAAGCATGCCCTGCAACATGAAACTTCAAACAACTATCCAAGAACTCAATAACAGAGAGCACATATGTAGAGTTACACTCGCCTCAAAGATCTACCCTCCAAAATGAATCCATGTACAGACTGGATGCACCGTACTGCTTCTTCCTCCTTTGAATAAGTTATATATCTAGGCCAAAAGAAACAAAAAAAGGCAAGACAGAAATAAGCTAAAATAATTCATGAATAAATGAAATATAAACTATACTGCACTCTAATAAGTACATCATACATGAGAGGGAGATACACGACAAAGGTACGAAGATATAGGATATGCAGTCAATGCTTCGCCGACATGAAGACAAAATTGGGCATATAACATTTTCAAGGTTCATTTGCAGCAGAAGTAATTTAAATGGATTAAAAAAATCCATTTAACACTAGTGCATATGAAACTAAAACGACTCATCATGTTCATTTCCAATGGAACTCAAGATTTACACATCAGGAATACGTAATCATCCTGCTCCAAGGCTCCAAACCCATCCTACATCATACCAACTTCGAAGAAATTTAGGGCATGCTTCAATTATCAGTATAAAATGTCCGACATAACTTATAAGAGATTAACACCAAAATCATCAAAATTTGAACTTGAACACTACAACACTTCTAAGAAAAATGATTTGGAATCATTAGAAGGAACTTACACACTGCACGTACTATTTGCAAACTGTTGTATAGCACCTGCTGCTGTCCGCGATATAGACACCTTAAGCACCTTTCCATACTGACCAAAGTATTCTTTGTGCTGGAGAAGCTGGTTGAGAACAAATCAACAGTATTGAGACCATGAGAAGAGGAGGAAGAAAGGGAAAGAGCAAATGAGAGAAGAGGCACTTACGTCTTCGTCTGCTAAATTAACTGGCAACCCCACAACATAAACAAGATTCCTCTGGACCACTCTCACGCTACTAAGTTGCTTCCTTCCTTCCGACATTTTGCTCTTTCCCTTTTGTGACTTCAACTTTTTCTCCAAACTCATCTCAGAAGCCAACCTGTTAGGATGATCATGGAGATCATCATGATAGCAGAAAACAACTTAATTACCTTGATCGATCAGCAAGAGTTTTCATGGGAAATGTCAACTTAAATACCAATAATGAATTACCTTTCACAGTTTGCTCCCGTTTCAACAATCTTTTCCTTGTTATAAGGTGCACGGCATGCTGGACACCGGCCTTCTGTCTCATCCTTCTCAGCCATATCCATAATATGATGCCAGCACCAAACACAAATCTGTAAAATTGCAAAAACATATAGAACTCCAATAAGCAGAACTATAGTTGAATACATGAGCAAGACCAAATTGAAAATATCCCTGTATAGGACATTGTGAGTGAAAATCAACAATTTAACAATACAACTAGCACAAAGTACATATAGAACCATAACCAAGTGCTGCAACATTGTGTGTAATCTTCTAAGAGAGAGAGAAAGCAGAAAAAATGGGGGGCACAGAAACTTCTGCATCTTCTTTCCACAGTAAATTGGGTTTCTCTTTAGGCACAAATATTCAGTTACTATATATTTCTTTGATTTAATATTTTGGCTGACCGTTTATAAAATTACAGATCAAAACATAGAAGTGGGATTTTTGCAAGCTCAGAGAAACCATAGTTCATCTTTTCAGAAACTTCCGATCAACCTTGTTAAGAGTTTTCCAATGAATTTTTAAAGCCGGCTTCTTTATTCTAAAATAGTGCGTATAAAAGCATAAGGTCAGAGCATTAATCATATGTTCCCC